AAAAAAACAACCCATACATCAAGAAGGCGTCGCAAACGGGTGTGTTTCCAAGTGTTCAACAAGGGGAAACCGCCATGTTCAGCACTCTGGTACACATGATTGTAAGGTGGTTTGCTGAAGCGCTGTGACCGGGGATTTGAAACAGAAAACATAATTGCGCTTTTACGGTTTGGATCTCCCTCCCTTGTGGGTCCCTTTCCTCCCCCAGGTGTCAGTGTCAGACAAGTGCTGTCAAACGAGAGCTCGGGCAAAGCATGGCGAAAAACCAGTCCCAGTCCGGTAGCATTCACCATTCATGAGCAACCTTGTTTTTGCGGGGCAAACGAAAACCCCAGAAGAATCCAAGTCAACGGTCAATCCCACTGAAGTCACTACTGTTTATTATAGTGCCTTCCTGCTGCAGAAAAATCTACAGGAAATGTTCTGCTTGGTTTAAGGAACCTTTGGCTGCAGGGTTGTCTGTAGAAGACTTTATGAAATACGTCGAGAATATCACCATTTTGTTCCGTACTCGAAACAAAACACCGACCTTCCACATTCCATGTCCTGGCTCTGTCCGACGACCTCACCAAACTGGTACCGTGTCTGGCTCTCGGAATCGCAGTGGCTCTCTGAATCGCAGCACACCGAAACCTTCCAATCCGGAAGTGTCGATTTCCATGGAGGCATGGCTCTTGTCTCACTGGGCATGGCCTTTGCTGATGAAGGACATGAGGGCTTTCCCCCATGACCATGGCCCAGACACAACCGAGCTAAAGCTCCCTTCACTGCCATCATGTCGCTTCTCTCGAACATAGTGCCTTGGTCGTTCTGGTTGGAGTGCCTGCAGGTGGACCCTAACCGTAGATTTGTGCAAGGATTGGTTTAGATACCCACAATACCCTGGTGGCCCTGGTGACTAAAGCAAAAAATGACTCCTGGTCCGATGTGCTTAAACCATTGGCAGACAGCCGCAAGAATGCAATCAAGGAGCTCAGTCGATGATAAGGACTGTCAGGCTTTTTCCGTTTGTGAAACTCCTGAACCCCACGACCAACATGCAACCATGGTACCTGAACACAACCAGAGGCGAGTTCCAAACCATGCAACTGTATCTATACTATACCTAGAACCCATTTGACCTCTGGAAAATACCTTATTCAAATAGAGGTCATTCGGTCATTCGGGTTCTAGGTGTATATATATATATGGTACCCCCCAAAAAAAAATAACACCCTTTTATTGTTTTTAGCGGTATTTACAGTGAATTCTGCTTATTTTGACGTTGATTTTTTG